CATCTTTTATCCCTTCTTCTAGTAGTAGCATTCACTCAATTTTTCTTTAGGAAAAAAAAAAAAAACCCTTCCAAACTCTTGGACCAGGTGGCTCAGAAGGAGCTGGCCACACACCACAGCTCCAGAGTGGACACGTGACCCAGGCCTCACCAAGCAGGAATTCCCTCTCCCTGGTCACAGTGATTGGTTCAGGATGGGCACATGACCCAAGTCAACCCTATGAGGGTCAGCCCCAGGACATTTGCTGAAACTATTGGGGGTCCAGGCGAGTGTACTCTCTTTCAGAAGGCCAGCAGCTACTACATGGGGAGAACCTACTGAAAATAAGGGTGATTCAGGAAAAAGCAGAGCTGAAAATAGAGGGGAATCAATTGCCTGAGGATATCATCTGAGAACAGAGCAAGACACTGCCTCAAATTTTTTCCACTTTACTGTAACACTTTAAAGGGTCATGTCTTATGTATCTGCCTATCCCATCAGTGCCTGGCATGATGCCTTATAAAGAGGCATGTAGCTTAGTGAAGAAATCATTATTTGAAAATATTAATACTATGTCTGAAGTAGACACCAGTACACACATATCCAATCTTCTCATTTTTACTTTTCAATTTGTAACAAGCAGATCAGATTTGGCATAAAAGAAATCAGAAGGCTGGGCACAATGGCTCACACCTGTAATCCCAGCACTTAGGGAAGCCAAGGTGGGTGAATCACTTGAGGCCAGAAGTTTGAGACCAGCTTGGCCAACACAGTGAAACCCTGTCTCTACTAAAAAAAATAATAATAATACAAAAATTATCTGAGCGTGGTGATACACACCTATAATCCCAGCTACTCGGGAGGCTGAGGCACAAGACTCTCTTGAACCTGAGAGGTGGAGACTGCAGTGAGTCAAGACTGCACCACTGTACCCCAGCTTGGGTGATGGAGTAAGAAAAGGAAGGAAGGGAGGGAGGGAGGGAGGGAGGGAGGGAGGAAAAGAACATTTAAAAAAAGGAATGAGAAATAACTTGCCACGGTGGCTCATGCCTGTAACCCCAGCAGTTTGGGAGGCCAAGGTGGGCGGATCACTTGAGGTCAGGAGTTCGAGACCAGCCTGGCCAACATGATGAAACCTCATCTCTACTAAAAATACAAAAAAAATTAGTTGGGCATGGTGGCATGTGCCTGTAATCCCAGCTACTTGGGAGGCTGAGGTAGAATTACTTGAACCTGGGAGACAGAGGTTGCAGTGAGCCAAGACTGTGCCACTGCACTCCAGCCTGGATAACAGAGTGAAACTCTGTCTCAAAAAAAAAAAATGAAAAAAATGAAAAAAAAAAGAGAAGTAACAGGCATTACTAAAAAATTCTCTATCTTGGAGTTTTTATTTTTTATTTTCTACCCAACATAGGCATAGATATAATTTCTTAGGACTTTAATGCATATTTAATGTTCACGTTTACGGTGACCCTACATTAGATCCCACTGGCCGACACCAAGTTATAGTTATCAGCTTGCTGGCCAAAAGGCTGGTGGCTCAGCACCATGGACAGAGGAATCTGGTGCAAAAGTTCGATCTGCGCCTACTTACAAAGTAACAGCTGTGAGCTCTGATATATGATGTTCTACCAAGGAAAGATTAGTGTGAACATTCTTCTTGGCATCAAAGGAAGAGAGTGGCTCTGGGTTTGGATCAACTCAGAGGATTAAGGTCTTGAGAAAATAACCACTCCTTAAAGATACCTCTGAGTACCATGACTTGCTTCATTTACTGACCTATATATTGATCCACTACTTCTTCGACAATCTGCTCTTCTGTTCCCAAGACACCATTTTCATGCTGAACTAAATGTAAACACCTAGTTAGCAAATGTGGAGGACATCTGTTCTTTTTACATGTCCAGCATCTATAACCCTTTTTTCTTTTGCAAACCACCCTTCAAACGAATTAGCTGTCCTGAGTTTGCTCTTTGTTGTTGTTTTGAAGAAATAGAGTCTCACTCTATCACCCAAACTGGAGTGTAGTGGTTCCCTCATGGCTCACTGCAGGCTCGACCTCCCAGGCTCAGGTTACTCTTCCACCTCAGCCTCTTGAGTAGCTAGGATTACAGGTGTGTGCCACCACACCTGCTTAACGTTTATCTTTGTAGAGATGAGGATCTCACTATATTGCCCAGGCTGGTCTTGACCTTCTGGCCTCAAGCAATCATCCCCCCTTAGCCTCTCAAAGTGCTGAGATTACAGGAATGAGTCACCACGCCTGGCCCAAATTAGCTGTTTCTTTAAATGGTATTAAGGAATTGTTGATACAATTGTGAAGGGCTTATGATGATATTGAAGCTATGTTTAAAATAAGAGTCCCTGGCCAGGCAGAGTGGCTCACACCTGTAATCCCAGCAATTTGGGAGGCTGAGGCAATCGGATCACTTGAGGCCAGGAGTTCAGGACCAGCCTGGCCAACAAGGTGAAATCCGTCTCTACTAAAAGACAAAAAGTTAGCTTGGAGTGGTGGTGCACGCTTGTACTCCCAGTTACTCGGGAGGCTGAAGCAGGAGAATCACTTGAACCTGCGAGGTGAAGGTTGCAGTGAGCTGAGATCACATCACTGCACTCCAGCCTAGGCGACAGAGCAAGACTGTCCCAAAAAAAAAAAAAAAAAAGAGTTCCTGTCTTTACACAATACATTCTGACAGTTTCAAATAAAATAATATCATGTCCAGAATTTGCTTCAAAATAATCCAGGATCAGAGCAGGCAAGACAAGATTGGCCATGAATTGCTCATTGTTAAAGCTGGAGGACAGAAACGTGAGGATTCTATTTTATGTTCAAAATTTTCCATTAAATATATACATATGCAAATATATATACACACACACATGCATATATATGAGGCTGTGTGTGCGCACTTGTGCGTGTTACTGAGATGCTACCAAAAAATTGTAACAATAATTCCTGAACAACTTATGATCCTGCACCTGAGCAATAATAAAGAGCAAGCCTGATTCCCTCTGCTCCCTGAGGAGCTTTCAGGAGGCAAGGTTCTAAACGCCCCATGCAGACCTGAGATTTTTCTCTTGCTCAAGTCCACGTGATGGAGCAGGAAGTTCAGATGTCCAGGGATGATCACTTTTGCAAGATGTCTCAGGACAGCAATTTCTAAGAAATGAAACCTTTTCATGCACTTTTCCCTGACAAGCAGCTGGGAGCAGGGGCTGGGCCAAGCGTAAGTGAAAGCACACCTGATTGTGGTCATGGGCCCCAGGTCAATACATAAAGTCTAGGTGAGAACCAAAGCAACAGCAGCAAAATATTAAATACGAAATGGGCTGGATAACTAGAGGGAGCCAAGATATAATGCCAAGCACATTACGATGGAGAAAATGTAAAATACAAAGATGACAGAAAGGTATAAATGGAAGACACAACTAAATATTCCTCTTGGGAGCCTTTTGGGGGACTTTTCATGCAGCAGCCACATCAGGACAAATGAGGTGCCAGCAGAAAGACTGGTGGATAAAATGACTATAAAACTGCTTCCAAAACTGTGAAACCATGCGCACATGGGAGGAATTGCTTAGAGGCTACATATCACAGATGAGGTTGAGTGCTTACTATGCATAAGGTACTTCATAAGCTCCCAGTACACAGTGGTTAAAAACATAAAATGTCCTGCCTCATTGAGCTAACATTATAGTGAGGCAAACTGATGTAACTGTCAATTATTTAAAAGTGTGATAACTTCACCTAAAAATACTGCCAGCTTCTCTTTAGAAATCAGAAGATCTAGGCCGGGCGCAGGGGCTCACTCCTGTAATCCCACCACTTAGGGAGGTCAAGGCAGGCTGGTCGTTTGAGCTCAGGAGTTTCACACCCTGTCTCTGCAAAAAGAATATAAAAATTAGCCAGGTAGTGGCACGTATCTGCAGTCCCAACTGCAGTGACCTATGATTGCACCACTGCACTCTAGCCTAGGTGACAGAGCAAGATTCCTTCTCAAAATAATATTAATTATCAGAAGATCTGCAAGGCTTGGTCTGTATTCCTGCATGGCAACAAGAGGCTGGAACTAGTGGCTGCTTCCTTTACAGGAAAAGTGGCCTGTAGCTCACCACCCTCCCCACCATTCCCTATTGTATTATACTCTGCCTTACTTCACTCTGTTATCTGCCTGAGCTCTGCAAGCTTTCAAGTTTGTGACTCCTGCTCCCTCATGTCCCCAAGTTGTGATACTTGCCTCTCCTAAAACCACCAAATAGCCCAAGGAGAATGTAAAGGACCCCACTCTTATTTGAATCTGAATCCTGGGTTACCATTTAATCTGATGTAACCTTGGGCAGTGACATCACCTTGCTGAAGTCTCAATGCCCTAAACTCTAAAATGGAGGCAATCATATCTGGCTTATACGATTTTTGTGAGGACTAGGCTTTGCCTAATTAACTCTTACTCCTCCTTTGGATCTCACCTCTAGCACTGCTTCTTAAAAAAAACCTTTCCAGACCTCCCAAATAGATCAAATCCCTCTGATAGACACAGGTTCTCAGCACCATGTCTCTTCTTGCTGGCACCCATCTCCCTTAGAATTATACATCAGTTGGTGGATTACTTGCTCAATTCCTGCCTCTCCCACCAGTCTGAAAACTCAGTAATGGGAGGGGAATCCTGCTTTTGCTCCCTACCTACCACCATATCTGGCATTAAATAGGTCCTCAGTATTATTTAGAAAGAAAAATGAGCTGTGTACAGACGCTGATACAACCCCTGGCATATACGAGGTGCCCCACTGATTCTCTCTGCCCCACCCTCAGCTAATGCCTGTTACGTACATGGTATCCTAAGCTTCCGGGGCTAAAACTGGCTCAATTTTTAACATTTGGGAAAGAAGTGATTAGGTTGTGTGTTCTAATAAGCTATCTACCTCCCAGAATAAGGATTTTTGTTTTGCCCACTGACATACATGTAGCCGAACTGGTGTCCAGGCCACTCGTCGCCTGAAAGCCAAAAACTCAAAAGACAAGCTTTGGCGAACGTAAAGTTAGCTTTATTCAAGAAACCAGCAACCTGCAAAAGGCAGTGCACTAGCGTTCAAAGACCACCTTTCTCAGTTGTGCCTCTAGATCCAGGAATTTTAAGGAAAATTAGGAGAAATAATGATCAAAACATTCTTGTGGGCCAGGGGCAGTAGCTCATGCCTGTAATCCCAGCAATTTGGGAGGCTGAGGCAGGTGGATCACTTGAGGTCAGGAGTTCGAGACCATCCTGGCCAACATAGTGAAACGCCATCTCTACTAAAAATACAAAAATTAGCCAGGTGCGGAGGTGCACACCTGTAGTCCCAGCTACTCAGGAGGCAGAGGCTGCAGTGAACCAAGATCACTGCACTCCAGGCTGGGCGACGGACCAAGACTGTCCCAAGAAACAAAACAAAACAAAAAACATTCTCGTCAATCATGCACAGTCTCAGATGGGCAGTTAATTATTACTTTCTTGGTCAATGCCTTGTGACTAGATTGTGCAGGGACCATCAGCCCGTTCCCAGAGCTGCTGGTCTGTGTGTAAGGTCCTGTTTTTGCTGTGACTGTTTTTAGTGAATAATTTACAAAATCAGGCAAAACAATAATTATACTCAAGCAAGCAAGCTTTTCTCTAACATAGTCAGTACTGCTGTTACCCGTTGCAGGGCCTAGGGGACTTAGCTGGACGCCTACCTGGCTTTTGTTACCCAATGCAATGCCTCCATGACATAGCTAAATGCCTACTCAGATTTAACTCTGCTTATTTTTAGAAAACAGGATGTCTGTGGTCATAGGTTCCTTCTTAGCTTCCTCCACCTCTCAAGAACCTCTAGCTTCATCCTCATCCAACTTCAGTACTAAATGACATTCCCATTGGCGCCATGACAGTTGACAATCACCATCATGACCCGAAGAGACCAAAAAAGGAAAAAAAAACAGGTAGCTCCTTGATTCCAGGAAAATCTACCTCCCTTCCCAAAAAAAAACATGAATATTCCTCCTCCTGTTCTTATTTTTTTATTTTTTATTTTTTTAGAGACAGGGTCTTACCGTGTTGCCCAAGCTGGTCTCCAATTCCCCGGGCTCAAGCGTTCCTTCTGCCTCCTTGCCTTGCTCTTAATGTCCAGCCCCTTCATTAAGGACACCTGAGGACTAAGCTCTGATTTGTATGTTTTTTGTTTTCTGTTTTGTTTTGTTTTTGACCCAGTCTCAATTTGTCACCCAAGCTGGAGTGTGGTGGCACTATCTCGGCTCACTGCAACCTCTGCCTCCCGGGTTCAAGCGATTCTCACACCTCAGCCTCCCGAGCAGCTGGAATCACAGGTGTGTACCACCATGCCCAGTTAATTTTTGTATTTTTAGTAGAGACAGGGTTTCACCATGTTGGCCAGGCTGGTCCTGAACTTCTCACCTCAAGTGATCCACCTGCCTTGGCCTCCCAAAATGCTGGGATTACAGGCATAAGCCACTACGCCCGGCCTAAACTCTGATTTTCTAAATCTTGCCCAAATTCCTATCTAAGGGATCTGGGGAGTCATGCCCTACAAACCATAAATTCTCATCAGATGGGTTTTATTTAACCCTGTATATGATGACTTACTTTCCAATCTGACTCTGGCATAACATTACGTGACAAAGAAGAAAGTCAAAATATTTTACCCCAAAACATGTTTCTTTGCCCTATTTTACAATTTCTTCCATAAAGGACAGCATTTTCCCCCAAAACCTATCCTTTGTGGGGGAAAATGTGCCTCTGTAAAGAACATCTATTAACATAGCTAGATCTTTTTCTTCCAGGTCCTCCCAATCCTAAACAGATTAACTAAAAGTCTAACACCTTTTGAAGATCTGAATAGGAAACATTTGTCATCTATTATTTCTAAAGGCAGCCACCATAAGACTTCAAAAGAACTTTGGTCTCCACTTTTATCTTAACCTGTACATTTCCTTTCTATCAATCCCAGGTCTTTAGACAAACTCAACCAATTGTCAAGTACAAAATGTTTAAATTTCCCTATAGCCTGGAAGCCCCCAACCCGACCCCCACCCCTTTGAGTTGTCCTGCCTTCCTGGACCAAACCCATGTATTTCTTTAATGTATTTGATTGATGTCTCATGCCTCCCTAAAACGTATAAAAACAAGCTGCACCCCGACCACCTTTGACACATGTTCTCAAGCCCTCCTGAGGGCTGTGTCACGGGCCACGGTGACTCGTATTTAGTCCAGAATAAATCTCTTCAAATATTTCAGTTTTACTTTTCGTCAACTATTTCCCTATTACCTGTAACTTCTCAGTTTTCAAGAGCTGAGAGCTTGACTTGCGAGCTACGCTTCCACTTCTCCAATTCCATGGCCACTGAAGGCTGAACGGCCTGACTGACACACTTGGTCTCATGCGCTAGCTCTGCAACAAGGGACAGACAAAAGCCCCTTGGGGAGAAACCAGCACCCCCTGGTGACACTGTTGCCTCTGCCAAGCGCGCAAAGCGCAGCCTGGCATATAGTAGGTGCTCGAGAGGGAAAGCCGGTCTATGAAATCGGGGACAGGGGCAGCACCATGAGGGAGCAAGCTCGGGCCTGGGTGGCGGAACGCTGGCCCCGAGACCCCTCTGCCCCCTTCTCCTCAAGCTCGACCACATCCACCTCCCCAACGCCAGGGGCAACAAGAAATCACTGAGCTGGGACAGCGCCAGGAAAGACCTGGAGCCACGCACAGATCCCTCCGCAAGCAAAGGCAAAGGCCACACGTGCGCCTCCGCCAGGGCAAGAAAGTCCCATGGGGTCTGGTGACCCACTCCAGCCCCGACCGCGGCCCTGGTCCAGGAACACGGTCCAAATCCCTCCGCCGCAACTCCGTGTCCCTCCGCCAGCAACACGAGTCCACGCTCCCGTGCTCTTCTTCCCCGGCAGCCAGGCCTCGGTGGCGGCAACTCCACCTCAGGGAGGTCCCGCCACCGCCTGGATTCTCCGCCTGAAGCGGCACTCGCCTCCCGCTCCCATACTGTTCGCGATGACAGGTGCCCTAGAGTCCCTCTGTGTCCCTCCGCTCCGGGAGGACCCTCGGCGCCCAGTCGCCGCGCAGCGCGCTCTCGCGAGAGTCCTCCACACGGGCCCCCTCCTCCAGCCCCTCGCCCGCAAGGACGCCTCGCGCGGGCCCCGCGGCGCTTGGTGGCAGGCGGCGCATGCGTGGCTGCGGCTCCCAGCGCCCCCCGCGCTCTCCGCGGGCCGAGTGGACGAGGCCGAACGCGAGGAGGTGGCCGCTGCCCCCTGCGAGGCCTAGCTTCGGCCTGCGGCTCTTCTCCCCTCCGAGCGGAACGGTTTTTGCGGCCTTTCCTCAGTGGGCAGAGGTTTCCTGAGGAGGGTTGGGGCCGTAGTGGGCCCGAAAGAGCCCGGCGCCGCTCTCGGACTCCGTCAGGCCCCAGCGGCACCCGCAGCGGCCCGGGCATGCTGCCGTGACCCGAGCCCGGACTCTGGCGCCGGGCGGGGCCTGCACATCCGGCCCCACCCACTCGGGGCCTCGCCTCTCGGAGCCCGACCCTGGAGTAGCGGACACACCCCCTCCTGGCCTGGCTGTCCGCCTCCGCCCAGCCTTTCCTCAACCAGCTTCATTTTTCTACCAGTCCTCCAGCCTCCCGGTTTCCGACTTTGCACTAAGAGGGATGCACCCTGGAAAACCACATTGCGGGGTCACATCTTGTTTGGAGAAAAGGCCGGGCTTTTGCATCTTAGGGTATACATTCACCTTTTCAAGGGCCTAGCATAGATTTGATTAATCAGCCTGGAATACCCTGTTCCTGCTGACCTGGCCGTTTTTACCTCCCTACCTTACCACACTCACAGGAAGATTAAGCAGGGAGCGCTTGGCGTCTTCTTTGGGTCGCCACCTTGAGCTAGACGTGAAATTGACCACTGGGCTGCAGCATGGCTGTAGCCCTCGACTCTCAGATCGACTCGCCCCTGGAGGTTGAGGGATGCCTAATAATGAAGATGGAAAAGGACCCCGAGTGGGCATCAGAGCCCATTCTGGAAGGATCGGATAGCTGTGAGACCTTCCGCAAATGCTTCAGGCAATTCTGTTACGAGGATGTGACCGGACCCCATGAAGCTTTCAGTAAACTCTGGGAACTTTGCTGCCGGTGGCTGAAGCCAGAAATGCGTTCCAAGGAGCAAATACTTGAGCTGCTGGTGATTGAGCAGTTTCTCACCATTTTACCCGAGAAGATTCAGGCTTGGGCACAGAAGCAGTGTCCGCAAAGTGGAGAGGAAGCGGTGGCCCTGGTAGTGCATTTGGAAAAAGAGACTGGAAGACTAAGGCAGCAGGTGAGAGAGGATTTTCCAAATTTTTGTACTTAGAAAAAAGGGAATGGGAAAGGCATGTGGGCAGGATGTATTGTAGAAAGAAGTGCTTTTCAGAGAAAGATAAATGGTACTAATAAAAGACCCTGTAAGGGGATCTTTTCACTTTAAGTGAATCCACTTAAAAGGGGATCAGAGTTTCATATGAAATACAAAAGTAAAAGCTTTGGTTGAAATATTACCTTGCAGTGGAAACCAGACGTTATTCACCTAAGCATTTATCGTCGTCATTGGCATAATGTTTGCAACAAAACAATATAAGAGAACAATATGGTTTTGCGTCATAGAGGTTCACTTACGCATTTTGATCAAAAAAGGCTATTCTGTTCCCCCTTTAAAAATAAATAAATAAATAAAAAGACTTCATTCGTTATCCCAGAGCTGTCTCCAAGCATTTACTATTCCACTCAGTGTCTTCTGAAGTGCTCTCATGCTGTCATTTCTGTCACTCTCCTCCAGTCTAACTGCCACATCTTCATTTCTCAGTGGCTTGCATGCTCTTCTAGTTGTTCTTCAACCTCCCTTTCATGAACCTCGTGAAATCCTGCAGTATTTGCAAGATTTGCAGTTTCACCTTGCACCGGACTTGCATTGTGTATAGATCTATCAGCAGTTTCCTGTGTTCGTCAGGGATAGACAGACAGATGTGGATATTAATTTTGGAAGTTTTCATTTCACTAGTGAATATATTCATGTCCTGGTAACTTTTACTTCTTTGCGAATTTAACAAATATAAAGAGTCAAATAATATCTATTCTAGCAACAAGAAGGCTCTTTCACTCCTGACAGATTTCCCCCTCTGTTTAGTAATAAAGATTACTCTGGCTGGGCGTGGTGGCTCACATTTGTAATCCCAGCACTTTGGGAGGCTGAGGCGGGTTGATCACCTGAGGTCAGGAATTTGAGACCAGCCTGACCAACATAGTGAAACCCCATCTCTACTAAAAAAATACAAAGTTAGCCAGGTGTATTGGTGCATGCCTGTAATACCAGCTACTTGGGAGGCTGAGGCAGGAGAATTGCTTGAACCTGGGAGGTGGAGGTTGCAGTGAGCCAAGATCGTGCCATTGCACTCCAGCCTGGGCAACAAGAGCGAAACTCTGTTTCAGAAAAAAGAATGCTCTTCTGTTACCTTACACCCAGACTGCTGGACAGTACTCTTAGCCCAGCGCTCTCAGATACTCCATTGGGGATGGAGTGGAATTTTCATTCCTTCTCATGTCTCTGTCCTTCTTTGATGTCTTTCCTAGGAGAATTTCGCCCTGATATGGGCCTGTTTTACTCCCTCTTATGGTATTGACTTCATTTCTCAGGTCAGCAGTCCCATGCACCCGGAGAAGCATGCCCTACTTGGAGCAGCGTGGGAGGTGGCAGACTTCCAGCCAGAGCAGGTGGAGACCCAACCCAGGGTGGTGTCTCGGGAGGAAGCTGGAAGCCTCCACTCAGTACACCAGGAACAGCTGAACCGAAAGCGAGAACGTTGGCCCTTACCGAAGAATGGTAAGAGGGAAGACTTGGAGCATGCCCAGTGCAGAGGCTGGGGCAGATTTCCATGGTACCCCCAACGCTGTGAATGCCCAGTGGAGGGCCTCCCAGATACATATTCAAAATAGAGTATTTAAGGAGAAAGATTTCATTCACTTCAAGAATTAGGAACATTTGCAATATAAGTGAAAAGGTATCATAAAGTTGGAAACTGAGTCTGGGAAACATGGGAAAACCCAGTCTCTACAAAATTGCAAAAAAAAAAAAAAAAAAAAATTAGCCGAGTGTGATGGCATGCACCTGTGGTCTCAGCTACTCAGAAGACTGAGTCAGGAGGATTGCTTGAGCCCAGGAGGTTGAGGCTGCAGTGAGCCGTGATCACACCACTGTATTCCAGCCTGGGTGACAGAGCGAGACCGTGTCTCAAAAAAAAAAAAAAAAAAAAAAAAAAAAAAAGATCCAAACTGGGGAAACAGATTGCCTGGACCAGCTATGAGATCTTGTGGTGGTATTTAAACTCTCCACAACTAGACACAGTGACTCACATCATAATCCCAACATTTTGGGAGGCCGAGGCACTACAGTAATCTTGTGTTTTTCAGTCCTGCCATGTGTATGTGCTCTTGGGTGACTAAACAAGTCAAAAAGCTGTTTGAAAGGGAACAAGACATTTGTGTTTGAAGTTTGACTCACAAGGCATCACAGAAGTGGCATACGAGAGGGTTAAACAGTTAAGACTTTGCAGAGGAGGGACCGCTGACATTCATAGCTGCCCTGCACATTAATGAATCAGGTCAAATACTAGGAAATGAATACCTTGTCCTTCCCAGTCCACAGTGATCTCTCTATCTCCTGAACTGTGGCTTCATCTCAGGCTTAAAGAGAGGAAGGGAAACATCACTGGACCTGCCGTCAGAAGTCTTCTGTTTATATCTTGTCTCTGCCACCCTCTGTCTGTGAACTTGGGCAAATAATATGAAAAGGAACATGAATGCACAGAGACTAAGAGCTTAGGCTTTAGAGGCAGACAGACCTCGATTCAAAACCTAGCTCTGCCATTTTTTTTTTTAATGTGTGAGGCCTTGGTCAGGATACTTCTCAGACTTTCCACTCTCTCATCTTTATTTTATTTTATTTTATTTTTTCTTTGAGGTGGAATCTTGCTCCAGGTTAGAGTGCAATGGCGCGATCTCGACTTACCGCAACCTCCACCTCGCAGGTTCAAGCGATTCTCGTGCCTCAGTCTCCTGAGTAGCTGGGATTACAGGCGTGTGCTATCACACCTGGCTAATTTTTGTGTTTTTAGTAGAGACGGGGTTTCACCATGTTGGCCAGGGTGCTCTTGAACTCCTGATGTCAGGTGATCTGCCCGCCTTGGCCTCCCAAAGTGCTGGAATTACAGGCGTGAGCCACTGCGCCCAGTCCTCTCATCTTTAAAAGGGAAGTAACAAGGCCATTAGTGCAGATTAAATGAGGCAGCGTAAAGGAGCCAGTGCATAATAGTGCTCAATAAATGTTAGTTTCCTGTCCCCCAGAATGGCACAATTATTTTTAAACCTCAAGTATGTCTGACTTACACAGCTCTTCACTGAGAGGCAAGATTCGGTACTACTATACTTTTTTATGCCTCCCCAAATTTATATTATGATGGAATGCATTGCAAATGTCCATGGTTAAGAGAGAGAGACTCTGAGAGAGAGAGAGGGAGGGAGGAAGGGAAAGGAAGAGAAAGAGAAGAGGGGGGAAGGGAAGGAGGGGAGGAACCACAGCCATAGTCTCACACTGAGACGTGAGTGGGACCTGAGCATTGGCGGTGCCCTTTCAATCAGATGTGTGCTCTCCAGTTCCCACAGTGCTTACCTGGCCCCCTTCATCTTGTACTTTACTTGCTTACCCCCAGAAAGAATTTGAGGTTATGATCCCAGCTTTAGGGTACTGTGGTTCTGGGCGTTGTTCTCAACTCACAGAGAAAATGGTGAATTTATATTTGTTGGTGTTTCAATACATACTCTTCTCTTAAAACGAGAGACAGCATGAATTAAAGGGTCGAAGCCCAGATTACTAATCGTTTCTTTCTATTCTTACAGCTCGGCCTTCTCCCTGGGTTCCTGCCCTTGCTGATGAATGGAATACCCTAGATCAGGAAGTGACAACCACACGGCTTCCTGCTGGGTCCCAGGTACATTGTAATTGTCTTTTTTTTTCTTTGAGATGGAGTCTTACTCTGTCACCCACGCTGGAGTACAGTGGCACGATACCAGCTCACTGCAACCACTTCTGCCTCCCGGGTTCAAGCAATTCTCCTCCCTCAGCCTCCTGAGTAGCTGAGACCGCAGGTGCATGCCACCACACCTGGCTAAGTTTTCATATTTTTAGTAGCGACGGGGTTTCACCATGTTGCCCAGGCTGGTCTCAAACTCCTGACTTCAAGTGACCTGCCCACCCCGGCCTCCCAAAGTGCTGAGATTACAGGTGTGAGCCACCATGCCCTGCCATAACTGTCTTCTCTGGCCTTCCTTACTAGGGTATTTAGGCACAATGCTTTTCTGTGCCTTCACTGTCCTCAAATTTTTATACTCTCCACAAGAGACTTTTTCCCCGTTACTCCTTTTCCCAAAAA